ACCATAGTGTAATAAGCAAAGGCTGCTGTCTAGGTTTTATGGAAGCCACTGTGGACTGCCAGATCAGACCTCCTCCGAATATTAGCGTAGCCCATGTCACGTTCATTTTTCATGCTGGCGACAGCACATATTTCAAGCGTTTGATATTTTGAGGTCCTTTCAAGCACATCTAATAGTATTATTTCCCATTGTAGTCCTGCATAATAACCTCACAAGCAATTTTGATTGATTTCCCCTCGAATTGCAAAGACTTCTGCTATGAAATCACACATGACCAAGTCCAAACATGAAGTCTGTTTTTTAGAAATGCTTATTTTTTTTCTGAAAAAAAGCTGCTTATCAATATTAGAGACTCCTTCAATATCACTTACAAATACACTTTCATCGTGCAGCAATACAGGTATTAGAAGCTAGCACCAGCGAGCAAGCAATTTTAAAACAATGCCCCCCCATTCCCTTCCCCAGCAGGAAGCCGATGCAGAATCGATAGGACCCCTGGACGTTGGGAGAACTTCCAGGGACACTGCGGTGCTTCCCGCCACACTGATTTTCACCTCAGCTCAGTGCTCAATCGCACCTATTGAAATCAAGCACCTTATTCAGGTGTTCAGATCAGGTGTCTTATTTGGGAGCCTAAATGCAAGTGCCAGCGTGATGGGTCAGGCCCTCCTGGGGAGTGTTTCCTGATCTGCTGAGTCTGCTTCCCCTGGCTGCCTAGACAATCTGTTGTCCTGTTCTGTTGAGCCCAGCTCTCCAGGCTGCTTCCCATAAGACACCGGGACAGGGCCACACCCCAAAGGCGGCAGACAGCTGGTGCTACAGACAGCATGTTTTTCGCCTTCCTCTGTAGCATTGGGCACAGATCACAGCTGAAGGACTCTCTGCATGTTGGGGCCTTCAAAGTATTGGAAGGCTTCAATATCTGAGACATAGGTGAGAGGATTATTCTAAGAGGGGTGGGCGAGATTCTGTGGCCTGCACTGTGCAGGGGGTCAGACTAGATGATCATAATGGTCCCTTCTGACCTTAAAGTCTATGAGTCTATGAGTCTATGAGAGACCCTAGAGTGGGCACTACCGGAGGATCGTGTCCTGAAGAGGACCCTGCGGTCTGAGAGTGACGTGGGTCCCAGCTGGAGCATAGCACAAGGACAAGGTCCCTTCCAGTTCCAGGACACTATGGGTATATCTCCATATATTAGCTGCTGGAAGTTGGTGCGACTGTTCTAGTCGAACATTTTACGAAGTCTTTCCCAAACACACCTGTGAGGTCAATGCCTCAGTTGAGCTCTGGAGCCAATTGACAGCTGCTGCTTCACCCCCCGCTCTTGATCTGACCTACTTCCGAGCTGTCCACCTGGAACGGCCGCAGCACCCTGGACTTCCCCTCCCTGTTGTCACGGGCTCACTGTGAGGTCACTGCTTGCCACCCTCCTTTGACCAATACGCTGAGGTGCTGGAGAAGGCCTTTATGATGTCATTGCCACACTCACCCCTACAGGGCTCTTATCCTCCCCTTAGCAGCCCCTTTGCACTGCATCCCTAGGAGGGGATTGTTCTGTTGAAACTAGTCTGGTAGCAGACTACTTTATGCTGCTTTAGCTTGAGCTAAAACAAGCGTGTCAGGTTCTTGAGAGGGACGAGGACTCGGGGACAAGGGCGGGCTCTTGGGACCGGGGCGCTCTGTTGCTGCAGGAGAAGGTGACGCCGAGCTTGTTGATGTCCCTAAACTATCTGGTGAACTGATAGAGTAGGAAGGAGAGAGCTTTGGCTGTGCTCGCTCCGTGGTGAGATGGGCTGGGGGTTCCTCCCTCCATGGCCCAAAGGGGCTCACAATCAGAGCACGTCCCTGCCCCTGTCGCTTGGTGAGAGGGAGGGAAAAGGGAACCAAACAATATAAACTCCTGGGCTGTGTCTAGACTTTTCCGTAAAAGGGATGCGAATTAGACACATTGCAATTAAATCCCTGCTTCATTTGCAATTGCGATGTGTCTAATTTGCATCCCTTTTATGGAAAAGGGATGCAGTCTAGACCCAGCCCTTGTGCTTTGGAGGTTCAGGGTTGAGGCCAGGTGCCATTGGGAGCATGTTGTGCCTCCCTTATAAAGCGCATCTCCAGCCAGGCCCCTTACATTGCCTGCCTGCCTGCCTCCTGCAGAGCGGTGCGCCCCAGCCGGCTCTTACCAGAGCACAGCCAGCTCTGGCCTGAGCGGTGCACTGCGGCACACCCGCTTCCCCTCTGCCCAGAGGCAAGCAGCAGGATTAGAGACAGACGGAGGCGAGTCCAGCAAGACTCCCACCATTCTTGATGTGGAAAAAGCCAGCCCCACAATGGTGTGTGGAGTCACATGTCTGGGCATGACTCAGTTCTGTACAGGTAGGAAGTGTGACTCCCACACGAGCCCGACTGGTCACAGGGAAGGGCGGTGGAGGTGAATTGGCACCTCTTGTAACCCGCTGTCGTCATGGATTCAACTTGAACAGACTCTTCCCCAGACTGTGGCCAAACGGCTGGTTGGCTTGTGCCAAACAAAAATACGTGACCATACCGTGTCACAGCGTGCTGCCCCGCGTGCAGGCCAAGAGCGGACCCCTGCTCCTCCCCACTAAGCCCCTCAGATGCTGCATCTCTGGGCTCACTAGCTGCTGGCTGGCCCCACGTGCCCCCCTCACCGGGTGATTGTAGGGTTTGAGTGGGAGGTGCTCAGACCAGCGGCCGGCCGTTGGGAGATGCACATTCCAGCTTGAGGGGATCCAGTGAGGCTGTAACCCTTTCTCTGCCTGGGTGCTGTACAACTCTCTCTTACGAGCAGGGCTCAAGCCAGCTCCACAGGGTGGGGCCAGGAGAGACAGTTCCACCTCCTCCCTGAGTCACCCCAGCAGGTCACGGTTGAGGTAGGGAAGGTCCATCCAAAAATTACACCTCAAAGGAGGGGGGCCATGCTCAAGACAGTTGAAAACAGCTGCTCAGGAATGAGGACTGGCTGGAGGGGGGGCTGTGTGTGGGCAGGCAAAGAGCTCAGGGGACAGGGTGACTGGGGGCGGGCAGGCGGGGGAGCGGGGGGCCCCGGACAAGCACTGCAGAGGGGCTGTGTTGGAGCGGGTAGCGCAGGGAGCCGGCCAGCGGTAGCTAGGGGCTGCGCGTGTTGCCCAGGGAAGGGCCATCATTAGGGGGATGGAGGGTTTGGGGCAACCCCTCCCCCAACCCAGTGCCCCAAGTGTGGGGCCCAGGGCAACTCTCCTGCCACAGGCTCTGCCCCTGCTCCACCTCAAGCAATGCACCTGGTGCTGGGCAGCTACCAGGGTCACCCTCCCGACCCCCACTGAGGCAGCAGGATCAGGAGTGGCCTGCCACGTTGCTCTGCCCTGCTTCTCCCCAGCAGCATGGAGAGGTGGAGCACGGCCCGCCGAGGAGAGGCCAGTGTAGTGGAGCAGGCTGCCGGGCCACTCTGGCTCCCGCTGCTGTGGTGAGTTGTGTATGGGGGTGGCCCCTGCTACTCACCCTGCACCAGGCCCCATACTCCCCAGGGTCTTAGGTTGCTTAACATGGCCCCTGCAGGAACCCCCAAAGACTGGGGCGTAGGATGGCTGCCTCAGTCTGCCCTGGGGGTGGCTCTGGCCAGTGATTGCTACAGCTGTGTACGAGCAGGAGGGTAGCTCAGGGTGAAGGCCGGCTCTACATCAGAGGTGGGCAATAATTTTTGGTGGGGGGGGGCACGCCAAGATTTTGGAAAGTGGCGCAGGGCCGTACTGTTCTGTGGAGGGGGCACTGGGTCTAGGCTGGAGGCTGGGTGCAGACGGGTGCACAGGCTAAGGGACTGGGATGCAGGAGAGGGTGTGCGGTCTGAAAGGGAGTTTGGGTGAAAGAGGGGGCTGTGACCTGGGTCAGGGATTGGGGTGTAGGGTCAGGGAGGGAGTATGGGTGCAGGAGAGAATTGTGGTATGAGGGAGGAGGGTTGTGACTTGGAGCAAGGGGGGTGCAGATGGTTTGGAAGGAGACCTGGGGGAGGGAGTTGGGGTGCCGGAGGGGCAGGGGTGCCAGAGGCAGGGCTTGGCTGGGAGGTGCAGCCCTGCAGCACGCTCAAGGCAGGCTGGGCTCCCTGCCTGCTACACCCCCAGACAGCTTAAAACTGAAGCTGCTCCCTCTGTGAGACTCTCCTCTCAGGCCAATCTTTCAGCTCCTATTGGCTGGTTGTTTCCGGCCAATAGGAGCTGAGAATTGGGCTGCAGGCAGGGGAGATCACAGGAAACTTCCCCCTCCCTCCAGAGCAGAGGCACACAGAACTGCCCTGCGCTTGAAACAGCAAGTGCCGCATGGCTGAAGGGCCCGGCAGGGTGTCTGCGGGCCCGATCCGGCGGCTTGGTGGGGTGGATCCGGCCCGCAAGAGGGATCTCGCCTTCCCGTGCTGTAGGTAGCTGTGTGGCCATAGAGTAGCTCAGGATGTACCTAGGGGCTATGTGCAAACAGGACACAGGAAGGAGGTAGCTGGGGGCTGTGTGCAGACAGTGGGTACCTCGGGGGCAGGGACAAGGTAACTAGAGGCTGTGCACCAAGAGAGCTCCCCTGCAGCCCTTGTTTCCTTAGAGCTCTGCCAGCTGCGGAGCTGGGTCCCTCACCCCTGCAGTTCTTACCAGCTGTGTGAGCGGAGGGGCACCAGCAGCAGGAGAGGCGGGAACAGCACCACTGCCTGCACCATGGCACTGGCCAAAGGAGCAGCTGCCCTGCACTGCCTGGCTCTGGCTTCCTGCCTGCAACTGCCCTGCAATTTCACTGGAGTTTGGGGGGTGCAATATTCCCAGTGACGACCCCCCCCCCAGCTCTGCCCATGGCTTCAGAGCATCTGCTGCATGGGCAGCACCGGGGATCTGGGATTCAGTCCTGCCATGCCGGCTTCAGTTCAGGACTTGCCAGGGATCAGGGCTTCAGCCTGGGGGGTGCTGGGAATTCGGAGTGGGAGAGGCTGCTAGAGCGTGTATGATAGTTTTAAGGAACACGTTAAAACCAAGGCAAGTACGGCAGTCTCCATTTATTTTAGATTAAACAATGCTTTTTAAAAAAAATAAATACAACCTAGACATCACCAAGAACCCAATATATTAGAATGCTATCAATTACATTAAATAGACCCCTCGCCACGACGTCACGTGGTCCTCAGCTGAAACGAGACGTTTGTACGGCCTGATCGTTCAAACACACAACAAGACAGTTCTGCAGTAACCTTCATTACTCTCACTCCCCTACTCTACCGCCATCTGGGGCGCTCTCCTACGAAGTGTTACCGCTGAAACAAGGGTTTTATTGCCATCGACGGCAAGAAGTGCTAAAATCATTTATCCACTCTTAGGAGCGGATGGGACAATCGGAAGCAGCATCCAGCCTCTGGTACCTGGATTTGGGATTGCTCTGCAAACCAGCATGTCAATACTGCAGAAGCGGATACTAGCAGTGCAGATCTGGCCCAGGAGAATTCAAGTGTGGCAAGGAATTGAAATGTGTTCCCTGACTGAGCACATCTCGGCCCTGTCACTGGTGAAGGAGGTGTTAGCTCGGGGTGGGAAAAAGCCACTTGGCGGGCCAGATCCGGCTTGCTTCCAGCTTTGATCCGGCCCACGTGGCTGTTCCAGGCCCCGCCCCCAGCAGAATGCCTGGGAGCCACGGGGGAGGCGCAAGCCCTTTAAATAGAAGCAGTTGAAAGGGCTCGCGCATCTCCGGCTCCCAGGCAACGCGCTAGTGGCACCGGAGCCCTGTTCGCTGTTTCTCCTTAAAGGGTTCACGCCTCCCGGGCAGCTGGATTGCCTGGCGGCCACTCGGCAGGCACAAGCCCTTTCAATAGAAGCAAGTGAAAGGGATCGCAGCTCCAGCCTCGCGCGCTGCCTGGGAGCCGGAAGCCCTTTCTACGGCTTCTATTTAAAGCCCCACCCCAGAAGTAACCACTTCAAAAATCTGGAAGTGGCCCCCGCTCAAAAATGATTGCCCACCCCTGTGTTAACTCCTGTTCTCAAATGACATTCATCTAACTAGAACAGAAATAAGCAAAGCCTTACTCGAGCGACTTTTCACTTTAGACCATTGCAACTTGGCAATTTTCTTGCTCTGTGCACAAGCCACACGTCTGTAAGCGACAGCTCTGACTCTTTCCAATATACCAACTAAAGTGCAGGGCCTGAATATGTAATCAGCCTTCACTGGTATTTTAATATCTCAACTATAATATGGCCAGTGAACATGGACTACATCCACATTATACCCCCCAATATAATCTATTCAATCTGATTTTTGGAAGCCAATGTCTATGAAACTTTTAGGTGCATTAATGTCAATAGCCCTGAAATCTATGTTTTAAGGATAGAAATAAAACAGGTCCTTTACATTGCTGTGTGATGGGTTTGTTGTCCACATAGTTTACATTTCCTTCAATAAACTAGAGAGAGAAACTTAACTCCCACACTACCTGCACTTTGGCTACCAAGAAGCGCAAAGCTTTAGAAAAATACAAGGCAAGAAAGATTTTGAGATTAAAAATATATAACTTTGGTTAAAAACCATCCCCTTTATAAACCAGCTAAGAACACAAAAAAGCTTCACTTAAGCTGAACAGTAGTAAAATGAGTACCATCGCTCACCGTCCCTAGAGACATGTGAAAATGCCATTCAAGATCAATTTTTACACATCTGTTCTCCAGTATCTACAGGGATAATTACATTTGCAGCAACAAACTACTTAAATTTTCCACAGAGAGAATGAGTTTGTATCACCAGGTCCTCCACCGACAGTCTTTACAAAAGATAAGCAGCAAGTTCTTAATTAAAGAATTTTTGACTCATGTAGTTTTCTTCAGATACTGAATATCCAAACTTTTTATAGAAAGCCACATTTTTGGGTAGACACTCGAGAGTAATTTTATAACAGTTCAGTCTCTTACTGAGCAACGTAAGCGTAGACATCAATCTGAGAGAGAGAGAGAGAGAAGAGCAATGGTTATATAAAATGACATTTCAACACTGGATTAATTAAAGTTCAAAATCTTCAGCACAAATGCAAGCATTTCATTCCCACTATTAGGTGAAGCCTCTCTATGAGGTAGAAGCTTACACCTTAGTGACAGAGGCAGTACCATTTTCTGTGTGAAATATTACTTCAACTTTTACTTGGGGAAAAAATCATTTCAGCATGAACAAAGCGCAGCATCTTTTCTTGTGGCAGACCAATGAAATGCCCCAGTGTAAAATTATATGCACAAATTAAAACAGATTAGCCAATTTTCCATGGGCAATGTAGAGCAAAGGGTGGGCAACATTCATCATGAGGGGGCTACTCTGAGATTTTGGTAAGTGTTCAAGTTCAAGGGCTGCTCTTTTCCATGGAGAGTGCGTGGTTCTGAGATGAAGGTTGGGTGCAGAAGGGAGCTTGGGTAGGGGGTTGGGTGCAGGAGAGGGTGTGGGGTCTCACAGGGAGTTTGGGTGAAGGGGGGATTGTGACTGGGGCAGGGTTGGGGAGGGGGTATGGGTGCAGGAGAGGATTCTGGCCTGGGGTGGAGATGTAGGAGGGCATGCAGGGTCTGAGAAGGAGTTGTGACCTGGGGGAGGCAGGCGCAGACGGTTTGGGTGATGACTTGGAGCAGGCGGGGTGGTGGCCTGGAGCAAGCTGTTAGGCACAAGGAGGGGCTGGGGTGCCAGATGCAGGCTCTGGCTGGGAGGCACTTACCAGGCAGCTCCCAGCCAGCAGCCCTGCAGGATGCCGAAGCAGGCTCCCTGCCTACCACAATCTCAGACTGTTCAAAATGGCTGGCTACTCCTGGTGGCACTCTGCTCTGGGCACCCAGAGGAAGGGGAGGCTTCGCCTACTGCCCCCAGCTAAATCCCTCTGCTCCACTGGCCAGTTTTCAGCCAATAGGAGTGGAGAGATTTTGCTGGGGAGCAATGGCAGCATGGGAAGCCGCTCCCTCCTCCAGAGCAGAGCGCCACAGGGATCAGCCAGCCACTTAACGCGGTGTGGGGCTGCTCTGTGCCCGAAGGTCCCAGTGAGACAGCCCGTGGGCTGGATCCGGAGACTTGGCAGGCCAGATTCAGCCCGCAGGCCGTATTTTGCCAGCCCCTGGTGTCGGAGGCATCTATTAAAATGTGTTAATTTCATAGCTGTCAGGTGGATACTTGCAATTCATTAGTCAGTGAGAATTCGTTAAACATACCCCAAAGCAGACTGTTAAGTGATGGGTGTGCCCATATGTACACGCACCCACAGAGCGAGGGCTTGTCGTGGCTTGAGCCTAGTTATTGATCACACATGTTCATCTAATCAGCTACAGCATGAGAGTTAACGGATGCGAGAAACTGGATGTGATCTAAGGGGCTCCTGACATGTACAGTGTTACAAGGGAAAGGCTGGGAAGAAACACTTACAGTTTGCCAAGCTGCTTTCCTCTGCATTCATCACTTACTACCACATCTTCTACCCTTCCTCTCTGAGGAAACAGAGACGGGGGCGATTAGTTTGCCATAGCACCTTGATGTTATTTTTCAGTTATATTAACAGGAGCCTCAACCACTGCCTCGTGTTTTGACAAGTAGGCAAAGAAAACAAACCTTAAAATGCCCTTGTATTTGATATTAGCCAAGTACACTCATCTGAATCCATTTCACACTCCACTGTAGTTATTTTTGAAAAACGTAATTTTTTCTCCATAATTGCAGGCGAGGATGCAAGAACATACCTTTGCACATGAATGAGTAAATTTATATTCTATGACCAGTGTTGCTGTAGCAACAATCTGTCCCAGATTTGTATCTTCCACCACAGTCACGTAGTAATCACCGGATCTCTTCATGTGCTCGAAGGTTTCTGTGGGAACAGGAGGAAAGTGAGACAGGCACACGTTTGAAGAATGGATTAGAATGGGACAGCCACATGGACTGATTTCGAATGATAAATTTGACTTCATAGTAGGGATGTATAATCCTATTTAATTAATTAACCAGGTAAGCATTACGTTTGACCGGTTAACTGATTAAACAGGGACAGGTAGAGGGACACTTCCCCCCTCCCCCCCCCCCGGCCCTGCCACTCCTGGGCTGGAGTGGCCCCCGCATTGTGGGCAGGGGTTGCTCCAGACCCCACGCTGAGCTGCCGGCTCCCAGGCTGGGAGATGGGGCCACAAGTGGCAGCATGGATTTGGTGGGGGACAGTGCCGCCTTCTGGTCCCCCAAGCTATACCCTGTTAAAAAGTGAGGCCTTTGGTCTGTGCCCTCCCTCCAGTTCCTGTGCCCATCCCCCCCCACAAGTGTTCTGGCACCCTTGCCCCAAAACGTACCCTTCCCCAGCTCCAGGCCCAGCGCTTGGAGGTTCAACGGGCTGTAAGGTTGACCCTGCCCCTCCCCCCAGTCTCACATTTGCTTCCATCAGCCACAGTGCAGAATGGGGGCAATGCTGTGACCCCCTTAACACTCTACTTTGGGTCCAGACTCCCATGGCTGTAACTGTGAAATTTCATATGGGTAAGTATCTGAAACCGTGACATGGACCATGAATTCAGTAGGGTCAAGGCATGTAAAATCCCATTTAACTGGCTAACTGGTATCTTTAACTGGTTAGCTGATTACACACAGGTGGGCAAGTCCAGCCTGCACAGAGCCAGAAGCGGCAGGCTGAAGGCGGGGGCAGCTTCCCTGAGTCCTGGTTAACTGTTACCCGGTAAGCATTACTTCTTAAGGATGATGCGCACTGGGTAACCGGTTACCTGTTAACATCCCTAGTAGGCCCTAGTTATACAGGAAGTTAGAATAGGTGATCCCAATAGTCCCTTCTGTCCTTGGTATCTGTGAAACAAGCTCACTGCCTCAAGAGGTGCAAAGACAAGCTCTGACTTCAAGTGGGGATGGTCAGACCAGGATGAGTTATCTTCACCCACCACTCAACCTGAACACAAGGAGAATTTGCCCCAACACGTGAACACTGAAGTCACCTGAGACAGGCGAACGAATGTCACAATGACCAACGGACCCTAAACCAGGGACGGGGAACCTCAGGTCTGAATCCAGCCCCCAAAGCTCAAGACTCGCCCCTCCCCCAGCATTGGGGAGCCTGTTCTGGGGGTTCAGCTCCGTCTGCTGCCCCACCGCAGGGTTGGAGCGCACAAAATCTACTAGGCTGGGCCCCCCTAGGCTCTGATGTGCAAGGGGAGTGTCTTTCTCCTCGGTCAGGGGCCACGTCAGCAAGGGGGTTTTTTGTTTCTCACTCCTGTGCAGCCCCCAAAATAAAAAAGGCTCCCTACCCTGGCCCTAAACCAACTCCAGTTGCTGAAAGCTGCCTGGAGAAGCCTAACACACTCGCCTAACACACTCAGCTAGAGAAGTCAAGAGCCTCATTCGTGATCAGATTTGCTGTCCACGTCAATAACGTTCTGACCCTTCCCTTCCCTTTTCCAAAGGTCAAAACAACAAATCGCGTACTCACTGATGAACTGCTCCGGGCTGGCAGCTCCAGCTTCTGTCAGCTGACCCAGAACCTTAAAAAAGCCTGCGGTAGAAAAGTATTGTAAAACGTTTAATGCTAGACAAAGATAAGCAATTAGCTGGAAGACTAAAGATTATGGCCCCCGTATTTCAGGTACAAATTCAAATCTGTACATCTGTGCACACTATTGTACGAGTAAAAGCAGCATGTTATGCCATATGTCAAGGAGGCAATGCCTGAACGATCACAGAACCTGTTCCTAAAGTATCCAGTGTGCCTTCAAACTGTGTAACCACACACAAGTAACACTGACATGCTCCGAGTAAAGTGACATTTGTGGGTAAAACATTGAGACTCATGAAGTCGAGAGAACAGCCCTCTCCAGATCTCAGCTCCCATCTGATTTAGTTACATGCAGTGAATTCCACATACTGCATGGCTATGTCTACACTGCCAGCTTCTTGCGCAAGAACTCTTCCACAAGAGAGTGTCTACACTGGCATGTGCTTTTGCGCAAGAGATGTGCTGTTGCGCAAGAGCATCCTTGCCAGTGTAGACGCTCTCTTGCGCCAGAAAGTTCCGATGGCCATTTTAACCATAGGGCTTTCTTGTGCAAGAAATTCATGTTTGCCTGTCTACACTGGCCTGGAAGAGTTCTTGTGCAAAAGGGTTTCTTCCTGAGCAAGAGCCCCAGAGTTCTGGTGCAAGAAGCCCTGATTTTATACATTAGAACATCAGTTTACTTGCGCAAGAACGCGCGGCCGGTGTAGACAGGCAGCACATTTTTGCGCAAGAGCGGCCACTTTGGCGCAAAAATGTTCACTGACAGAATTCTCTATCTTGGAAGTGAATCCAGGCCAGAAGCAATGTTAAATGATTGCCTAATACCCTGACAGCGAACTGGTTTGAAAGCAGAGGAGAGACGTGGATCGAAGCAAAGACAGAATGCGAACAAATGATAGCTATGACCCCACAGCCTCACGGGTTCTCAAAACGCGGTGTCTAGCCCAAGCCGCAACCTCTGCCCTGCAACTGAACTGTTCTATAGCCTGAGCTCAAAATTAGCTGGGATCTCTCTAAGAGACTGCAATGAATAGGAACGTGTGGATTAGGGATGTGAGTAGTTGAATAATGGACTACCTGATAAACCTAGGCTTATCGGATATTCAAGTCGACTACTAACGTTTCCCACCTCCCCTTCCTGCCTTTATATCAGAGGCAGCCTAGCTCGTAGTACATTTAAACTGCAGAGCCACAGCGGGGGTAGCTCCCAGACCTGGCGTGAGCGAGGACTGAGCACTTTCCCTTATCGACTAATCGTGTAGTCGATAAAAATTGTATCGACTACACGATTAGTGAAATACCCGCTTCTTAACATCCCTAGTGTGGATTACTTCAACAATTTGAGATGTTAAGTGCATTCGAAATATGGAGAAACCTGTTTTAAGTGACCATCCAAGCACCCAGCAAGTATCAAACACCTAAGCACTTGATTACCCCAATGGGGCTATATACTAACTAGGGATGTAAGATCCCATTTAATTGGTTAACTACTCAAACATAATATTTAACTGGTTAACTGATTAAAGGAGATTGGACTGGCAGGGGGTCGTCATCCAGCCCGGCTGCACTGGAGCGTTCCCCCTCTCCCTCGCTCCCACCAGTTAGCCAGTTAAACATTCACATCTCTAATACTGAACTAGACCAGGTAGAAGAGGAGTGTTTCAACTAAAGGACAGATCTGATTGTATTGGAAATGTCAGACAGATTTCCAAGTGCATAACCATACAGTGAGGCCGACTTACTGGAAATGGTTTAGGGCAGGTTGCACCTGTACAGGTCTGACCCATCATATTCATTACACAATAGGAAACAGAACTGGACTTCACCTCTGTTTAAATCGGCAGTGCAAAGGGGCCTCAGGACTAAACCATCCCCTGGCTGTAAAGGCGAAATCGCAGGAGAAAACGCTGCTGTGTTCTGGCTCCAGTCAAGCTCATGAAGGAGACTTGGGTCAAACATCGGTGTGTCATCCGGCATCACAGTTGCAACAGGCATCATGGCAGCAATGGTTGCAGTAGGTGTACTGCAATCGACACAGAAATGCATTCAATAAAACACATTTGCAATTGAGACCGTAGTTATACCCTGTAAGCCTAGTAGCCACACAGTAACAGTATTTACATTTATACCTTTATTCCAGCTGTTGACACACTAGCATGTTTTCTCTCTGATGCAATGAAAGGTTAATGAAATTTAATCTCATATTTACTTTTATCAGAAGTTGTACTGTTTGAACTAGAACCTACCAGGATTTGGGGTTAAAACAAACAATAAAAGTACATATTTTGAAGTTCCTTAATGCACGTCAAGTAAAGCCCATTTTAATATCAACTTTACTTTTGTGCTAACGGATCAAACTTTTTATGGAAGAAAGATAACTACAGAAGATTTTGTATGGTAAGCTCAGCATTTACATCCAGTTCAAACAGTCTAGCACTCCAAATAAGACAGACAAACTTTGTTACTGTATCTCAAAGCGATACAGACTGCAATTTGGATAAGCAAAATTTCACACTTTTTACTGACAATGTTTTTTCAATTATCCATTCATGGCCACTCTAGGGCTATGTCTAGACGCATCCCTTTTTTGTAAAAGGGATGCAAATTAGACATATCGCAATTGCAAATGAAGCGGGGATTTAAATCCCCCCTGCTTCATTAGCATAAAAATGGCTACCGCTTTTCTCCAGCTCGGAGCTTTGCCGGAAAAAAGCGCCAGTCTAGACTCGGATCTTTCGGAAAATAAAGCCTTTTCCAAAAGATCCCTTATCCCTTATTTTAAGAGGGAAAAGGGATCTTTCGGAAAAGGCTTTATTTTCCGAAAGATCTGCGTCTAGACCGGCGCTTTTTTCCGGCAAAGCTCCGTGCCGAAAAAAAGCGGCAGCCATTTTTATGCTAATGAAGCAGGGGAGATTTAAATCCCCGCTTCATTTGCAATTGCGATATGTCTAATTTGCATCCCTTTTACGAAAAAGGGATGCAGTCTAGACACAGCCTAGTAGTTTATGTGATGAAATTCAGATTCACTTCATGTGAACACTCCCCCCGCAAGAGTTTGCATACTTTTCCTACTTGTTAAACATGCATGTTTTTAAAAAAATGCATTTCTCACATGATAATGTTTGTTTTAACAATTCACCTCGTGAATTCACAAAATCAAATGCAGTCTTGACTGCAGGGCGTAGGTTTTCACTGACTGCTTTACCACACGACTAATACTGCCACGGTTTCAGTGTGACAACTGTAATAGAAATGTTTCTTATTCGATGGGTGGAGGAAGAAAGTAAAATTGGGGAACAGAATTTTTGCAGATTTCTCTAACTTAGAAGTAAATTATTCTTTTGTGTGCATGTGTGTACATTGCTTCTGTAACTAGAATATCCAATGGAGGATACAAAATGAACTAGATCTCAAAAGAGCTACTTCTAAGACTACATTTCCCACCCTCCTCCCCCTTTAAAAAAAAAGAGAGTCCATTTCATATATTTTCAGTAGAACCAAAAAGCCAATGAAAGCAATAGCATTCCTATACACACCATTTGGAGATGCCAAAGTAAACTAAGTTGTCAAATGAATTTTATCAGGATCCTTATATTTAATAAAAAAAATGCCTTTTACATGAAAACATCTCTGTAATGCTGTCTTAGGAAAAATGCAGAGAGTTTTACATTTGAGGCATTTTAATGGAATCCAGAGCACAGAAGTTTCAGACAAGAAGGCAGCTCTGTAAGCATTACAGGAAGCATGAAATATTTTTCCTCCACCTGCTAGTGTACAATGACGTTTCCACACACACACCCTTTTCACAAACAATGATATGCTTAAATGAAAACTGCTGCAGCATATTCTCCTTCCCATTAAACACTAACAGGAATTCTCCACCTACCTTTAAAAAAAAAAATCAGACAACACCTTGAACTTCTACGGCAGGATCTCACTCTGCTATATAATCAAATTAAGACCAGTATTCTTATGAGACAGCTAAATATTATCTTGATTTTAAAAGTGGTGAAACTGAGTCACCAAGGCTGTGTCTAGACTGTGTCTTGAATGCAAACAGAGCTTTTTCGAAACAGAGCATCCAGACTGCCTGGGTGCTCTCTTTCGAAAAAGCGGTTCACTTTTTTGAAAGAAGAGGTTGCTGTCTAGACGCTCTCTTTCAAAAGAGGCTTTTAGTCTAGACGTACCCCAAGACCTTAAGGGATATTCCTATGGTCTCAGGAAAGCTGTGGCGAAACCAGGAATGGTTATGCAAGTCTTCTGACACCCAATATTGGGCTTTTATTACTAGACCATGCCAATGTATGCAGAGGACTTTCAAGCTGTATCAAGTGTTTGAATTACTCTAGGTCTGACAAGAATTGAACCACTATAGTTCAAGTTGTAGTTCTGGTACCTCACACGACAGCTAATGATAAATCAGACTCAGGCCTTGTCTATATTTACTTGGAAGGTCGAATTAAAATACACAACTCCAGAAATGTTAATTGCATTGCTGGAGTCGACGTACATTAATTTGACTTTCGCCACGGTCTCCACAGCGGGAGGCTGATGGGAGCAAATGCACTTGTCGACTTTCCTTACTCCTCACAAATCAAGGAGTACTGGCGTCGATGGAGGAACCCTCAGCGTTTGATTTAGTAGGTCTTTATAGACCTGCTAAATCGAACTCCGGAAGATTGATTGCTGCAGTATCAATCGTCTTGGTCCTGAAGATTTGGCCTACATTAACCTGAGCATCCCTAGTATTAGTTTCTGGATCATCCTATGCTGCTATTAACCTCTCTCATTACCCAGAACTCATGATTGATCGTCATCATAATAATAGAGCTCTCCTGAAACAATATTCTATGGAGAACAAAATCATAGCGAATTTCAGTATTTATTACAGAATGCTTGAAAGATACATTTACGAAATGAAATACCGGAGAAGAAAATACCAGGAAAATACAAATCTTTCCTGCTTCCCATCCATGTAGTAATATTTTGATGAAGCAATACACTAACTTATGTAATTCAAGCCACAATACAAAAGGCTGGCTGGTCCCTGTGTTTCCTCTAGAAACCTAAAGGACCTCGGATCAATCCCAGCTCAGACTGGCAAGAGGTGCATAGGGCTTGTTCAATATCAGCACACATGCCAGTTTAAACAGACATGAGCATGCTTTGAAAAAGCCCTGACCTCCTTTGTGAACGATAAGGGGGCTGGCAGGAAAGAGGCCATCAAAAACTGTCACTGTACTGCAAACTGTCCTTCTGATTATAAAACCACATTCTGCACTTGGGTGCATGTGAGCAATCCCCAAGGAAGTCAAGGGAACTGGGTGCCTACATCACCAGGAAGAGTTTGGGCCACACTAACGGTGCATGGAAAAAGCATGACCTCACTTTATCAGCACCGAGACACCTGCCCACTTCCATTCCTTTTGACATCATCTTACTGTGCTGGTCTCCAGGAAACACCAGGGCAGACAGAGACACAACTACTGTAGCATCTCAGAGTTACAAATACTGCCGGATTACAAACTGATCTCTTAACCTCACAATTTGGAAACGGAAGCATACAACCAGCCAGCAGCAGAAACAAAAAAAGTAAATATATTACAGTGCTGTGTTAAACTACCAATAAAGGAAAAGCAGCATTTTTCTTCTGCAGACATTCAAAGTTGTATTATGTCAATGTTGAGGTGTAAGCTTTTGAAAGAGCCACCATAATGTTTTGTTCAAACACTTCAGCCTCCATTCCCCAGCTGTTTGTACACTGAGGTTCTACTGTAGTTAAACATTTGTATTCTCACAAACAGAGCTATTAGCTGCCATAGTTAATTAAAGCCAGGAGCAAACATCTCTTTAGAGGAGACCAGACAGACCCCCCTGGAATCCCAGCCACAGGTGACTAGCTTAGCCCACATGGAAAAGTTACAAGGAAATACACCCCGGGTCAACCTGGGGCTGGGAGGAAAGAAGCTTCTTTCCCCTACTACAGTCTCATCCCACCATCCCCATGTTCCCCACTCTGCTTTCCCCAGACACACGGACTCCAGCTTCCGCACCAGGAGCCCCTGAACCCCAACACCCTTCCCCACCATGTACCCTCCAGCCAGCCCAGCTCCCTCCCCCCACCACATGCCCCCCAGTCAGTCACCCTCTGAAACTAACTGTCTCTCTCCAGGCCGCCCTCCTGTACTTGATGCTG